CTACTACTACTACTACTACTAAAATGTATATTCCTGCTGTCCAGGTGCCGTCCACGGGGTCCCAGAAGCCATGGAGGGAACAAGCAACCAGGAAGCCACGCAGCAGCAAGGAGTGGATTCGAACCCCGGGGTCCCGAACCTAGCAGAAGCCATGGAGGGAACTGGGCACCAGGAAGCCATGCAGCTTGGGGTGGATTCGAAGGGCAAGCAGAAGCCATGGAGGGAACTGGGCACCAGGAAGCCATGCAGCTTGGAGTGGTGGATTCGAAGCCAGGGGTCCCAGGGCAAGCAGAAGCCATGGAGGGAACAGGCGACCAGGAAGCCCAGCAGCTTGGAGTGGATTCGAACCTAGGGGTCCCGAAGCAAGCAGAAGCCACGGAGGGAACAGGCGACCAGGAAGCCCAGCAAGGAGTGGATTCGAAGCCAGGGGCCATCGTTGAGGCTGGCAACGGGGGCAATAAGGCACAGCAGAGGACGGATGCCGTGTTCAAGGCATTGGAGCAACCCAATAAGTTCGACTTGAAGGACCCCGAGTTTGGTTGGAAAGGGTGCTAGCTATTACGGGTATTGGTTAAGTGTAGAATTATCGCGGGTTTCGGACAATTTGGTGTTCAATCGGCCCCTAAATATCAAACCCGATTTCTGTACCCCCTCTATATATATATATATATTTATTTATTTACTTATTGATGTATTTTTATTTCTATATACCTGATATGACTCTTGGCAGGAAGCTACGCTTACCAAGAAGGAAGGCGAATCCCAGGAGGATTGGATGGCGCGGGTGGCCCACAATGTCTTCATGAAGTTCCACAGGTCTATCCGGAGTGCTTGGCATTAAGCTATGCAAATCTCGAGGCCTCAAATCTCTAAACTCCTTAAGCCCTCAAGGCAAGCCCTGAAGTAGCTAATTGATCTGATGCATACAATGATCCCTGGAATCTTCACCCAAACCCCAAAACTCCTAAACCCTTCAACAGATTTCGGTGCCCTGAACCCTACAACCCTAATATCCGCCTAAATCCCTTAAGCCCTGAGGCCAAAGTACCCGTAGCAGACCCGACAAACTTCAACCACATGATACGGAACATTGTGGTGGATCTTAATCATCAAACAAGTCATCACAGACCTGGACCCCTAAAGCCATAGACAACCCTTTTCCTCAAAACCAATATCACTCCGAATCAACCCCTAAATAAATATCCTGGCTCAAGAAATCATCAGCTGGTTCAAGCCCAGGCAGCAACTGTCCGCCGCAAGTGGCCGAGAAGGCAGTGGATGCAAAGAGAGGCCAGGCACCATTCTACACCCTAGACCCTAAACCCTAACCCTTAAACCCTTAAACCCTTAAGCCCTTAAACCCTTAAGCCCTTCAGCCCTAAACCCTACACCCTAAACCCTAAACCCACTTATATCAGATCATACGATGCCCCCAGGGTCGAAAGCCCTGGACGACTTGTTCACCGAGTACCTGCAGGCCGGTGGCGACTGGTTGAGCTCCTCGGTCGTCGCCAAATCAGAGACCTCGGTCAAGCAAGTCATGAAGGGCCAGGAGCACTACATCCGGCTATGCGACCTGCGGCAGCAGGAGGGTGACGGGCCGGCTGAGGAGATCTTCAAAAGCAAGCAAGCACTCCAGGCTAAGCTACCGGAGGACAGCCAGGAGGCTCCGTATATCCTGAAGCACCCGGATCTGCCGGGATGCAAGGCTGGTTGAGTGGAAAAAGAGTTATACTTGTAGGAACCCTAAACGGCCCTCAGCCCTATAAGCCCGATAGGAATGGACCTTGATCCGGACTTTCAAAGAAGCGACCCTGACGCGAAAAGACACGAATTCGAAGACGACTACCTTGGAGACCGACAAGGTGAATCTCGATGCCGGGTCCACCCGAGCCCTGATGCCACTGGGATGAGTTAAACAAACAAACTGCATTAATTACTTGTTGAAACCCAGGGCCCTGAAACCCTTGCCCCGACTCCCGGGACCCGCTATTCATGCCCGCCAGGGGCGCCATGGCACATGGCCTCGAGATTGCCACGCCGAGCGGCTCGTCGGATGTTGCTGGCATTCAACGGCGGCCATCGTCGATGGCCTTGCCAGTGGCTCTTGGCGATCAGGAGGCAGGCTCGGCTTTGACATCCGTCCCGGAAACCATGGACAAGAAAAAAAAGACGGCCATCGTGAACCAAGCCAAGAACAAGATTGCCCTGGCTTCGACGAAGCTAGACGAGGCGAAGGTTCTGCAGGAAGAGATCGCCCAGAACGGTGCTATGTACCCCTGATGCAATATATCATAACAAAACCCAAAATCCTTAGCCTAAAGTCTGAATCGAAACCCTAAACCCGTAAACCCTAAAACCCCACCAAAGTCCCCCCCCCCCGGTGTCGAAATTAAGCCCCTAAACCCTGAAGCCTAGACTTAGCCTCTGCCAACCCTAGCTGCCCTTGATTCCAGGTCACAGCCCATCCGCGATGGCTTTCTCACAGATCTGCAGAATCACGGCCAAAGCCTTGGGGAAGCCAGGGACAAGCTGAGCGCTGAGGTGGACAAGGGCTCGGGTCAGCTGCTTCAGGAGCTCTTAGATGATCTCAATCAAAAGATTACCAATTATGTGCAATCGACGAACGGGATGAAGAAGCTGTCTGCCACCAGGCTAGCATGTGGCAGTACTTGGTCGACCATACCTTGGGGTCTGATTGTTCTTGGAAAGCAAAACCTTTAAACTAAACTGATAGGGTTGAGGGCTTTAGGGTTTAGGGTGTTTGAGGTTTTGGGTAAGGGTTTAGGGTTTAGGGTTACCCAAATTCCCAAATAAAGTCCCTAAAGCCAGGCGGGGCCAAGCTTGAAGTCCCCGCATTTAGGGGCCCAAGCCATCCAAAGGGCTATCAAACCACACCACCACTAGCTATTCTATTAATACTAAATTAATACTTATAAATTCAAGAGCTAGGACAAGCTGCCGAAGCCTCGATCTGGATCAATGCCAAAAGGGTTTCCATAGGTCCGCCGTAGGCGAGGGTTCAGCGGTTTAGGGCAGGGGTTTAGGGGTTTAGGGTTTTGGGGTTTTGGGGGTTTCCCCGTTAAACTTAGGTAGAATCTCCTTGCCCTAATCCTTATATAAACCCTTATTATATTATATATCTTATGTATTATTAGCTATATAGCCGAGGCCAAACCCTAAACCTAGCCTAAGCCGACACAAAAAAACCTAAGTTAAACCCGCAACCTAGCCTATGCCCTAAAATATATATAGAATCTGCCGAGAGCCATCCCACCCACAGCCCAGGCCACACCAAAGTCCAAAGGAAAGGCCAAGGCGAAGAGCCGTGGCAAGAAGTGATCAAGGCTGAGCCTGGCTAGGTGTGCCGTGGACTGGCGAGCTGTTTAGGTGTTGCCGAGCTCGAATATTTAGGGGTTCACGCGAAGATCTCTACAGGGCCCAAACTCTCTACTGTAGTATTTCGAGGTACCTCGCTCGGTTGCACCTTATACGGGATCTCCAGTTGCCGTTTTGCTAGATCTAGATGCAGACTTGCAGCTTGGATTGTCGTGCTCTTTTCCGAGCCAGTCGAGTGTAGTGCACACATGTTTTGTGTTTGGGGCCCGGGCTGGAACCTGGGTCTCACGGCCCATGGCGGCTACATTTGAAGCATCTCGATGCCAGACCCTCGAATGTGCCGGGGAAGTGATCTGAAAGCACATGAATCCGAAAATGCATTGATCTTTGCTTCTAGTCTGGCAGCTCATAAACAGTCACCGCTCCCTAGCACAACCCCGCTGTCGCAGAATCCGCGAACGACGACGACTTGGGGCCACTGGGGCGGCACATCCTCCGATGCACTGGTAAAGGGGTCCGGTGCTAAGCCCATCCAGAGCAAACCGCAAACCTGCCTCGATTGCTCGGCCCCAGCTGTGCTGCAATACTCCAGGACCTCAGCTTCGTCGGAGCCAGGCAGTTCTTGGAAGAGTCCCACAAGGATTCGTTTCGCCCTGTGTCAACAGCAGTTAGTAATCTAGATAGAGGCCCTTATCAATATAATAATCCTGTAAAATATCATAGTTTCCGTCGACAGGAGCTTAAAGCTGCTGGCAGCGCTTTGCCACGGACAGCAGAGAGGCTTCGGTTGGCAGGTGCTACTGGGAAACATCCACAGAATCTGCAGCGAGATTCGATGAGAGTCCTCGATGGAGCTATGGATATGGCGATCGACTCAGATCCCCAGGGCCTCAGGGGTCCCAACACTTTTTACATAAAAAGCCTCGGCCCTCGAACGTCAAAACCCGAAACCCCAAACCTAAACCCCTGAACCCTAAACCCTAACCCAAAACCCCTAAACCCTGAGCTGGACCCGGTGAGTGATCAGATCTGTAGCTTGACCAACACCAAAAAAACACGCATGCTCAGCGATGGAATCTCGAATAAGGTGCCGATGGATATGGTGGAGGTTCCCATGATGAAGAGTGCCCTGGACCCCACTGTGGTGATGAGGCCTGTGCTTGCGAAGCCTTCGGTACCATCAGCCCCAAAACCCTAGTACCCCGAACCCTCGATCCTAAACCCTGAGACCCTGTAGACAGGCCTAACATAAAGTTTGGGTATAGTACGTGGTTGTCTGGGGTTGGACTAAATATTCATTAATACCTTGCAATTCAGGAAATTACCTGTGGTCCTCCCTCATCGGTTGATTCCTCACTTGCTGAAGCACAGATTCGTTGTGCCCGACTTTGCAGCGATTCGCGAATATTGGAGCCACATGTTCAAGCATGCAGATTGGGGCCCCGAACATCCACTTGCTGAGCAGGGGGAAAACTGCAGACATCTGCCTGTCTTTCTTTATGCTGACGATGTCAAATGGACAAATGAGGAGAAACTCACCCAGGTGAGTCTAGGCATGGTCCTAGACGAGAGGACGCATTCGATGACCACACATTTTCCTCTGTTCATCCTGAGGGAGGTGTGAATTCCTACATAAATAACAGGCTCAAGCTAAGCCCACCCTTATCATTTTCAGATATCATCCCTGACAGTCGCTATCGACCGGATTTTCGACCATTCAGGCCTTTATGAGGCCTGTCGCTTGGACCCACATAAAAGCTGTCTGCATACATCCAAACCCAATGCGAAACCTAAACGATATGTTCCTGTGCTGAGGTGATCGACTCCTTGAACATTTTGTTCCGAGGAGAGCCTTTGGCGGCTCTCACCGAGCTACGCGCCGACTGGAAGTTTTACAAGGAGACTTCAGGGGTATATAGGGTTTAGGGTTTAGGGTTTTATAGGATTCAGAACCGAATCACTAAAGAGTACTTTGCAAGCTATGCCCTGGACTCTAAACCTTAAACCCTGAAACCTATATAAGTTTTCTATCAAGACCAGTATTGTTCTTCTTGGTGGTTTGTTTTCTATTAGCTACCCAGGAATGGCTGGGGTTCAAAAAAATTGGATGGAGCAGCCTCCAAGTGTGCCACCAATGCTTTGCCCGGCTGGACTCCTTCTTCGATGACCCTCAAATGTCAATCATGGATAATTTGCCAAGGCGGACCCCCGAGAACTTTGCCGAGGTCTGTGCTAGCTTGGTGGATAATCATGGAAGAACGAGCCCTTGGATTGAAATCCGAAAGTTGTGTAAACTCCTCGGTTATACATGTACATTTAGCTGAGAAATACTAAAACCCGAAACCCTAAACCCAGCCCGCAATCAAACTTAAACTGGATGTCCAGGCGCGAAACCAAATTTGCACGCAGGTGTCATCCTCGAGACCCTTGGATGGAGCCCCAGCATGCTTCGGTGGTGTTCTCTACACACAGTGAATCTCGGCATTTTGCTTTGGGCTGGTGCCGGGTGCATTGACATTCTGATGTCGAAGGCACAAGCCAAAATTTTAAAGCCACAAACCCCACAGCCTAAACCCCTAAAGCCTAAACCGGTGCCCGAAACCCAAACCTCTATCTACGAAAAAACACACCACAGCTCTGAACTGTACCAGGGTGTTTGGGGTGGCGGCGAATCGAACGAGAAGCTGGCCAACGCCTATCGTGACTTTTGCTCGTGGTGCCGAGATCAGAAGATTACGAGCCCTGCTGATATTAGGGTTTAGGGTTTAGAGGTTCAAGGGTTTAGGGGTTTAAGGGTTTAGGGTTTAGGGTTTAGGGTTGAGGGTATACCAGCTCCGTCCCCTGATCCTTCTAAGTGGTGTTTGGGGACAGCAGCTCCTGCGCCGGGCAGGCTGTCTTATTTT